CCTGGCCCTGGTTCTCCTTGAGGGCAGCCTTGTTCATTGCCACAAAGGCCCCCCTCGCCCCCCTTGCAGAGGAGTCGCTTCTTAGAGCAGCCAAGAGCTGCAGATTCCGGTGGCTGCACTCCGGCTGCCTCGTTAAAGCTCTGACCTTCTGATCTACCGAATGACAGTTTCTGGTGGCTTTAAGTTCCAGGACCCTCCAAGGCCACCGGAGTTAGGGTCTGCAACTGGTGGGAAAAACATTCGGAAGAGGGTGGCTTACAAGGGGCTGGTTAAGGATTCTGGGCTTCCGAGCTGGACCCAGCCACCCCAGTCGCACCCGGGCAGCGGATGGGGAGCCCCACTCCCCCGCTCAGCCCCAGATCCTGTGCTTCCGTGGCACCGGTGGGTCGTGCTTGCTCAGCCCCATCAGGATGCTTGCCAGGGCGATGAGAGCTTTGCACAGGCTGCTGCTGCTTCCTTATTAACGATGACGCCGGTGGGAGCTGCGCCACCAGCTCCCTTTCCAGCCCCTTGTGGCTGCATCCTGTTCACTCAAAGGTGAAATCGCGACCTGCTGGACTCGATTTTTCAGTTGAGGGGCTTTTGTGTGTGTCTTTCTTTATCCACTAAGAGGCTTGTGTTTTCATTCACAAAGATTTGATCAGTAAATATGGAGAGAAAATGCTCAAGGGACAAATGCTTGCTGTCCAGATTAATAAATTAATCTTTTTTTTTTTTTTTTGATGAGCCAAAGGCACTTTGCTGTTTCTCTTGACTGAGTCTGTGTTTGCCTTACCTTTGACCTTGGCTGACTTGGTAACTCAGCCAGGGCTCCTGTCCATCCTCATCTCCTATCTGGAGTCAACTGGTCACACTGGTACTTTCTCTCGCTTCTTTCTGGAATGGTACTCCTGTGTACCCCCCAGGAGGAGGTTGGGGGGGGTGTGCTGCTCTTCCAGGGACCCACAACTTCTGGGCTTGGCTTCAAAGGGGGTTAGAAGGTGCCTTAGTTACAAGCCTTGGTAACTATTTGCCCCTGAAGAAAAACATCAGTGAAAAATTGAGGGCAAAGGGAAGACGAGAAAGCCTTTGTGGTTTTTTTTGTTTGTTTGGTTTTTTCTGGATAGCATCTTGTACCTGTAAAACCAGAATGACTCCTTCGGGCATTTTTCTCCAGGATGGTTCCAGTTATGGGCTGAAGTTGGCTTTTCTGAATTCTGCAATGATGTTTAAAGTGAAGTGTTTGCCAGGTAACACATTTAATGACTCAAGACCATAATTGGAGCTTCATCAACTACAGTCGGCCTTTTCTTAGAAACTTAGAGCTATTCTCCGTATGGGGGTGTTGGTTTTTCTGAGTCTTGTTTTGTTTTGTTTTGTTTTGTTTTTAGTGTTGGAATAAGGATGTAATGGTGGCCAGGCTCACTTTCAGAATTTAGAAGTGGTCTACCCTGAGTATTGACGGCATTTCTGCTTATAGAATCCTTAGATGAGAGCTGCTCAAGTCGGGCGGGGGAGGTAGCATTACCTAGGAATCAAGAACTAGAGTTCTGTACTCAGAGAGACCTTCATGTGGGGTTGGGCCTGGCTGTGCCTTGAGGGCAGAGCTGGACCTGCCTCATTCACCCCTCCCCCCTCGGCCACTGCCTAGTTAATACTGGTTGCATGATTAATTTGCTTCAGTGAATTTGAATCCCATCTGAGTCTCTAACTAACCATGTGGCCTTGGGCAAGTCATTTTACCCCCTGAAGCCTCAGTTTCCTCATCTGCACAATGGAGCAATTAGTATTCATATTTTCATTGTCTGTGAGAGTGGAATGGTGGGTAGTACTAGCTGCCTGCAGCAATATCGTGACTCACAAACTTGACATTGAAAGAGACAAGCAGGTGTGGAAGAATACTGACACGGTGATTCCTTTTACACAAGTTCAAAATACGTAAAATTACTAGTGGCTAAACTATAAGGAAAAGCAAGATAATGGTTACCTCTGAGTAAGGGGGAAAGGGGATGGGATTAGGAAAAGGCAAACTTAATATTTTTTTTGTTTCTTAAACTGGCTGATAGGTATGTGGGTATTGATTGTATTGTCTTTATAGTGTACATCTATGATATTAATATTCGTTAAGTCTAGTCAATAGCATTTAAAGCAAAAAAGAAGTTATCACAGTACCTGGTACATAGAATACAGTCAATAAATATGAGTTGCTATTTGGCTCTGACTGGGTGGTAGGATTGACAAGCAGCAAGGCTCCAGGAATGTTCAAATGGAAAGATACAAGGCTGCCATGGATGGCTGTTCAGCTGGTGTATCGAGCAAGTTTTATGATCCAACTGTGGGCTGAAAGTCCAATTTTGTTTTGAGGCAAGGCTGTGTTGTGTCTATAGCAGCGTCTTTTTCTAATTCACGCAAAGGCGTCTCATGGCTAGTAGCCCCCCCTAGAAAGGCATCACAAGTGTAAGGATCTTTTGGAAAGGTGAGGTGCGGTTGGGTTGAGCAACAAAGTGGTATATCAGAAGGTGAATATAGATAGGATGTGGAATTTTGATCGTTAGTTTGGAGGGGACCTTGGAGAATCTTTAGGTCAAAGCTCTCATTGTGCAAGTGAATGGGCCCAGAGAGGTTAAAAGACAGACTAAAGGTCACACAGTGATTCTGTGACTACAAGAAGTACAAAAAGGCTTCAGGAAAAGAATTTTAGAGCAAATAAAAGAAGTACTGATTTTCATAGCACTCCTGACAGTTGCATAGGAAGGAGTTACTATACCTGAAGTGTTATACATGTTGAAATGTAAATGTACTCAAGAGTGTAGGTAAATTCAAGGATGATACATCCTAGAGTCCTTTGAGGGGTGTTTCTAACACTTGGAGATTGGTTTTGTGGAGGACAAGCCTATCCACCCATTGAGGATGGTCCCTCAATGCTACCATCCATCAGAACTTGGTTAGGAAAATGGGGACTGCTCTTCAGACCAGGTTAGCCTGGGTGGTCCTGCCATCCAGTTTGCCCCCTCATTTCTCTGCTCATTTCTGGAGGTTTTGCTTCTTATCCATCCTCCCCAGTTCCCAGAAGCCCTGAGGTCCCACTACTTGGGGTGGAAGGAGGGGAAAATCTCTGCCGAGAGCCTCCCAGTCAAAAGCTAGTCAGGTCCCCAGTGTGGCAAATCTTTGTTCTGACTCACTGTGGGTATTTTCACGTTACTAGGAATCCAGCTACAAGGGAGATAAAATGGAGCTGATCATTAAGTGTATGGGCCTTGAAATCAGAAAGACGAGGGCTCCAAATCCAGCTACCAGCTTTTGTAATTCTGGACAGGGACTTACCTGCTTGAGCCTCAGACCCTTTATCTTTAGAATGGACCTCCCAGTACGGCCTCTACCCCAGAGTCGTGTGAGTGAACCCTCAAGAAAAGCTGGTAGTGGCATTATTGCTATTAATTGACGGCAGGATGGATGGGGGAATTGTATCTGCCATATCATGGCTGTGGCCCGACACCCCAGACACCCCAAGCTACATTGTCCCACCTTTGGGAAATCCCTGTTGTGCGCTTAAGTCATGCCGCGCCCTCCAGGACCCCTGCTGCCACTTCCTCTGTAGTTGGCACTCTGCTTTCGTTGGCACTGAATATAGTTTTCAGTTCCTTATTAGCGTGCTCCTAGCCTGTCACCTCCTATGCTATGCTCCCCAACCCATGCAGTGTCACTCAGCACTTTTATTTGTGATTTAGGGTATTCTGGGAACCTCCTCACCGGTAACTCAGGGAGCCTGACCCTCCAACTTATCTCTTAGGAACCCACCTTGGGGTGTTCCAGGGTTCAGCCCCAGAGAAGTGCCATGAACACGGTTTTCCAGAAAGTTCTTTGCCCTCATGCGTGGTGAGGAAGTGGACGCTTGAAGCAAGTGAAGAGGCCCTGGAGGTTGGACCCCCAGGGTCTTTTGCTAGGATGGGGCTTCAGAAGCAAGGGGGCTGCAGCCACGTGGAGCAAGCCATGGGCCTTCCGTAAACTGAAGTTGCCGGACTTAGAGAGGAGCTAGCCTGCTATAGCATATGCTGGAGCTTACATGTTTAATTTGTATGTTCAAGGAATTGCCTCACTTCACAGAGGATTTGGGTGCAACAGTTCATACTTTTTCCCTAACCATTTTGCTTTTTCCTACCTTTTTTCCGAGCCCCTCATCTCTAGGAGAGGCCACTCAGCAGTAGGTTGAATGTCTCTTCCCTGCTGGGGTTATTGAGGAGAATGACAAGGGCTGAGCTGAAGGTGGCTTGAGGATCGTTGAGAGAAATGCCTGTGCTGGGACTCTGAGCTGCAGAGCTGACTTGCCTCTTTTCCCCGAATCTCCCCCAACCTATGGGGCCCACAGGATCCCAACTAGTTTAATCTTGGTAGCACTTAGGTAGGTGCCATTTCTGGACATGTATGTGATCCCATGAAGAGAAAATGTTAGAACTAAGCCTTGTGCCCATGGAGTGATTCTTCTCTGGTTTCTCAGTTCTCTTACATTTTTTAAAACATCATATTGCTTCCACTGAAGAAAATTTGAGAATACAGGAAAAGCGAATATAACATTTTGTTCCCTATTAAAAGTTAATTTAAGGCAGACCCAGAGGCCAAGACAGGTGTCTTGTCTTTTCTTCATTTGGTGATATAATTGACCCTTCATCCTTCCATAGGACTTAATATTCATTCAGCAGAGGCTAATTTACAGGGTGCGAAGTTGCCACACGGTTAAGGTGAAGATGCAGATTTCTGTGTGAACTGCTTAATTCCGGCGGTTTATAACTTGTCCATAAAATTTGCTACGGATTGTAACAAGTGGAATATTAACTGTGTTTCGGGGAGGGGGGTGCGGGGGGGAGGCCGGCCGGCAGTATCTCACATATCGCTTCCTTTCTGAAAGGAGCTGCGCTGGATGGGATGTATAGTGTGAACAGTTAATCAACTTTCCGAACCCCGAATTGGAACATATGGCCTAACATAAGATCCCTCCCCTGTGTCAGTTTATTTACACATGTATACCGTCAGCCTTACAGAGGTGGAACAATGCAATTCCATTTTCTTATACAGTCTTGCGAATGACCTTTGCGGAAAATAAAACTATGTACAGTCTGAGCTCTCCTGGAAAAGCCAGAATAATTTATCTGTGGCGTTGGGATAATTGGCTGATAGGAAGAGGGTATACCTTGGTGACCTGTGGTCCTGACTTTGTCTTTTGGAACTGAGCAAACCCTGAAACCTCTTCCTGGGCCCCAGATCTGTGTGGATGGCCCATGGGGCCCAGTGGTGGCAGGATCTTGGTAAACAAAGTGAGGTTGACTTTCCCTAGTCAGAGAATGAACAACAGTCAGAGAATGAATGCGGAAACCAAATTGTAGTTTGTAGAGTTTTGCTCAGACATTGAAATTAAATGTAAATTTCCATGTGTATTGAAATTTTGCTCTCTAACAGTGTTGGGTATGGGAAGTCTTTGCTTGTGTTTGGGGGAACTGCAGTCTTCACTTTCCAAACCCAGGATCCTTTGGTTTTCTTGCGATGAAACCTCCCTGGATGATCTGGAAAGAGAGATGGTGAAGTAATTCGTATCTCGTTACCCTGCCCACTGTGGAAATTAATATTTGACCCAATTCTGTCCACCCCGTGAGTTTATGGCTTGCATAAGTGGCTGTTGTAATGATCCATCGCCTGTTGCAACTGCATTTCCTGAGAATTTTATTTTATAGTTCTGAAGCTTTAGTCCATAAATCTTTTGAACTTGAGGTTTTGAGTTAGAGGCGCCATGCGGTTCTAGGGGGGAAAAAAAGGTGCCAAGTTTATTTTTCACACCTGTTAGCTTGGCCTTCTCATCATTCTTTTATTGCATGCCACCCCTCTGACAGTTGCTACTTGAAAACAATCCATACTAAAGCATTTGCCTTCATTTTAATACCACTCATAGAATATTGGTATTAAAAAATATCTTTTTTTAATGTTTTACCCAAGTGCATGAACTATAATGGTCAAGTTTCCATTTAAAAATGGAGCCCTTGTGTATTGCCAGTGGGAATGTAAACCGGTACAGCTGTGATGGAAGCAGTATGGCAGTTCCTCAAAAAATTAAACATAGAATTACTATATGTTCCAGCAATTCCACATCTGGTTATATACCCAAAAGAATAGGAAGCAAGGAGTTGAACAGATATTTATACACCAGTGTTCACGGCAGCATTATTCACAATAGCCAGAAGGTGGAAAGAACCCACATGTCCATCGATGGATGAATGAATCAACAAAATATGTATATATATCATGGAATATTATTCAGCCTTAAAAAGGAAGAAAATTCTGACCTGTGCTACAACACGGATGAATCTTGAAGGCATTGTGCTAACTAAAGGAGAAATATTGTATGATTTCCCCTAATGTGAGGTTCCTAGCATAGTCAAATCCATAGGCAGAAAGTAAAAATAGGAGGCTGGTTTTAAGTCATGTATATTTTATTACACACACACACACACACACACACACACACAGAGTAAATAAATGAAGGCTGATGGGAAGCCCTGTGTGGGTAGGGTTGTTGTGTCTCTGAGACCAAGCAGGCGAGGAACTGCCCTTCACATGTCCTTTGAAAGTACAGCATTGCCCAGGCTCATCTAGCAAGATTAGCCAGCTCGTGTGGACCCCTCGTCTCAGGACTCCTCCCGGGGTAGGCGCCCATCCCTGTGCTGACCTGCATTTTCCTTCTAGGTGGGGTTTGGCAGCAGAAGCAGCTCCCACCTGAAACCTGTGCTCTTGGTTGCTTTCTGTGATAATTACTGTGTTCTATTTTAAGCCACTTCTCTGCATTTGGTAACCGTCTGGGATTCTGTTTTGTTAACTCTCTCTGTGAGACACAATAAAAGAACAGAAAGACCTTGTGTAGGTGGCGTGGGGCCGAAGGCTCGGCTGGCTGGGTTGGGAGCCGCTGTCCCTCCTGTGCAGCGGGAGACTTCATTCCCTTTGCGTGAAGACTGAGAAAAGGCGAGGCTTAAAAATAAAAGAAAATACATATTTTTTCCCTGCTCTGGAAAGGCCCTTGGCTCCATCACAGCAGGTGGCTGAGGAACTCAATCTGTGGAAGGCATCAGCGCTTTCAGCACAATCAAAGTTAAGTGCAGAAATTTAATTAAACGGCATCAAGGATGGCAGAAACTTTGTAAAGCTGCAGTGCATTGTCAAATTCAACAATTATTTCAAGGAACACAATCCACAGATGGCGTCTAATTGATAAATTAAGGTTCTGCTTCTCTAATGGGCTTGCATTTAAGCCCGTTTTCCACCCATACAATAACCATCGCCTCCCTCACCCCTGTGAGAAAAAAAACCACATCGTACCCCCAACAACTAGGATGGGGCCTTGACTATTTGGTCTCTGGCTGCTCTCACTATTATCCCAAAGCTCCTATTTGGGCTTGAATCTTGTCCTAAAAACAGAAATCGAAGGATTTCTTGGGGACTGTGTGATGACCTTTCTGGTCCACTAACCCGTATGTGTGCTTAGCGATAGATGCCTGGGCGGGCGGGCTATCTATCTATCATCTATCTATCTATCTATCTATCTATCTATCTATCTATCTATCTATCTATCTATCTATCATCTATCTATCTATCTCTCTATCTCTCTATCTATCTAATCTGTCTTTCCCTTTTAGTATTGCTGGCTTCTGACCTTCATAGCACAGGATTTTGCTAAAACCAAGTGTCTCAATTTATTTATTCTTAAAAAAAAAAAAAGGAAAGAAAGAACCTCTGTTTTCAAGACTTTGTGGCACTTCCTGTGTGTTAACAGTATACACCCAACTTATTTTTATTTCATAAGAAAATATTTGCTGTCTCTAAAGATCCAGCCATGTTCCGAGAAAGGTATCCTGTGTTAAGACTTAATTAAAAAAAAATAATCCGAAGGTCTTGAATGTTTACTAGAACTTCATGTTGCAAACGAGAAAAAATGAGGCTCCATGGTTTTATATGCCCGGGAACTAATTCTGTGGCATCATGGGAGATGGAGGGGAAGCCTTCAAATACATCCTGGCTACCTTCATTAAGAGGTGCATTCATTCATTCATTCATTCCACCAACAGATATGCGTTACATGCTTTTCTAGATGCTATGGGGGAATTCAGGAGTGGGGGAAGACACTTCTGCCTGCATGGAACCTGCAGGAAATTATGAGTGAGAGACACTAAAATAACCCCAGAAATAGATGCCTCAGTGTCACTTGTGCTCTGGGGGAAGAGCAGAGGGTGACAGAAAGCATAGTATTATACAAGGGCATCTGCTGGGAGGCGTCCAGGACGGACTTAGCATGAATGGAGTTAGGTCAGGAGGGGTGGCAAGAGCCTTCTGGGCAGACCCGGGGAGCAGGATGCTCAAAAGCTCAGTGTACTGGAAGAGCTGAAAGAAGGCCATGTGGGGGAGGACATGGGGAGACAGGCTGGAGAGGAGCAGACGGAGGGGTCGTAGACGCAACGTGGCCCCCGTGCATGGAGCACTTACCGTGTTTCTGGTGTTCAGAGCTTCATACAGCCCATCTTCCAACTTTAAATGTTGTTTATGGATGTCTCTCAGCGTCGTCTGCCGTGCCTGGCACATAGTAGAGTCTCCGTAAATGTTTGTTGAACGCATGACTAAATCCTCCCAAGGTTGGGTATTATTTTCCTGACCCTGTAAGTTGGGAAACAGACCGACAGGGTGTACATCCACTTGCCCGAGGTCCCCACCCTCTGATAGGGTTGGTCTTTGTGCTGGAGTCTTGCCTGTCTGACTCCTCACCTGGGTCCTTCTCCCCTCTTCTCCCCTCCCCTAAAGATGAACCATCTGGTGAAGGGGACTGTAATGAGTATCTCTGACCACCCCCTTATCTAAGTGTTTCTGTCTCTCGAAAGAAAGAAGAAAGAAAAGAAAAAAAAGCCTAACTTTTATTTCCACATATGTAGCAGTTAGTGGTAGAGAGGGCCAAGTTTAAAGCAGAGCCTTGGCAAAGGCAGACGCCCAGGGTCTGAGTGACTGAGGAACCTTGGCCTTCTTCCTGCTCTGTACTCTGTTGGTCCTAGATCATGAAAGCAGAGGGGAGGAGTGGGGTGCGGGGGAGAGCCAAAGAACAGATCATATTTACTTACTTGTTTGTTTATTTCCAAAGAATAATTGTGGGGATTGCCGCGGCAGAACTCTAATTGCCTTTTTTCTTTTTTTTTTTTTTTAACACCACGATAGCGTGGGTGGCTTTTGAAATCCATGTAGTTGATGGAGGCGAGGGTTCTGTGCCTGGGACACCAGATGATGTAGTCGGATGGCTGTTGGCTGTTTATTTGCTAGTGTGTCGTTACCAACACAGTGTTCTTGAGTTCAGTGGCACAACAGCGTTTCATCCCCCGCCTCCCCCACATCTAAATATATCCGACTAGTCAATCAGACTTGGCAGCCGGCAGGGCTGTGGCTGTCAGATTGAGTTTGCCTTGGATCCTCTGAGCTCTTGGCTTGTTTTCCAGGCTCCAACATGCATTCGAATAGTGACATCCACGTTGGACTTGCGGACGTGCACCCAGGTGTAGGGGCTGGTAGGGTAAGAAGGAGACAGCATGTTGGTGTAAAAAAAGCATTTCCTTCTCCTCCACTATCAGTTGTAGAGCAGAGACAAAGCCATGCTGAGGGGAATGGCTTCACGCGCCGTGAGCAAGATGTGTGGGTGTGTTTTCCTTGAATCGTGATTTTTTTTTAAGTTGTACGAGGAGAGAAAACAAGACACTGGCGGCTGGTAGGAAATACTCTGTGTGTAGTAGATGGAGGTGGGGGAGTGGCTGGAAGAGGAAGAGGGATGGGATACAGACACGGTTTGGGGCATATTTATAGGGGGCATTTCAAAGAGGTCACTGATGATGTTGCCTTGCTGAGAATTTGGGGGAGAATCTGAGGCCTTGGAGAGGCCTTGGGTCCTGGTGGCCTGCCCCACCAGGCCCAGAACAGCCTCGGTCCTCTGTGCTGCCTCAGGCTTCTTCTGTAACCTGGGAACCGCAGGACCCAGCTCCTGGGTGCCTCCTTGGAGGCTTGTTAAGGGGGATCGTGGAAAGCAAATCAGAGGATTTAAAATCCCTGCTTGAAAGGTATCCTGTGTTCTCCAGGGAGTGGGCGGCCTTTTGTAAATAAATGACTTGAGTGCTCATCTCCGGAGTTGCTTATCTGCAGAGAAGCTTCACTCTAGGAGAGTCAGGGTCCCCACAGTTAAGCCTGTGCAAGAGGCACCTGTGTGCCTGCCAGCCCACCCCCTTCCAGCTGAGCGGAGTCCTGGAGGCCAGGTGGGAGAGGGAGTGTGCAGCAAGTTCTCCTCCAAGGAAGGGGGCAGTCACAGTTGGTTTGGTGGGGTTCCTGGGTCTTAGGTAGGCTCAGGGAGGGGAAGATTAAAACACAGAAAGACTTAAGATACAAATCCTGCCCCCAAGCAGCTCCCAGAATACAGATAAACACAGGCATGCAAATAAATAAACTAGAACAGTGTTTCTCAAATTGTCGTTTGGGGATGCCTGGGCATCCCTGAGCCACGTTCAAGGAATCTGTCGAAACTTTTTTTCATAACAACTCCAAGGATTTATTTGCCTTTTTCACTTTCATCCTTTCATGAATGTACAGTGGAATTTTCCAGAGGCTTCATGGCCTGTGTTGATGTCATCATTCCGATGGCTGATGGGATGTGTGTATTCCTATTTAAACATGTTTCAGTTTTAATTTCTAGCATAGTACACATTGATAGACATACCACACATAAACACAAGCTTTTGGTTGTTCCTTGCTATTTAAGAGTATTAATGTGTCACGACACCACAAAGTTTAGAACCACAGGATTAGAATATAGGCAGGTGAGTTGGCAAGTTATATACTCGGTAGTAGGGGCAAGTGGCAGGTGCTTGTGGGTGAGCCAGGGTGGGTATTGTCAGGGAAGGCTTTCAAGAGGAATTGTTTTCCTACTTGGGTTTTGAAGGATGGATAAGAGTTTACCTATAGACTTTCTCTCTCTGTAGCTAAGGAGGGGGAAAGCATTCTAAGAAGCAGCAGCAGCACATGTCTAAAGGAAGTGAGATGTAAAACATCATGGGGTGTTGGCCTTTCCTCAGCAGTCTGTGGGGCAGACACAGTTTTATACTGTCCTCACCATGGGATTTTCCCTACCAGCGATTTCCAAACGAGGCTGTATCTCAGAATCACCCAGTGGGCTTCATAGAAATACTGGTGAAAACCCAGGCTTGCTTTTCATCTGTTGATGGGCTCCTCCTGGCGGACATGACCAGGTGCTCTGGGTACCATTTTTAGGTATTTTGTGGAGAGTGACATCATAGTGGTCCCTGCTGGAAGAAAGCTAGGTCATGCCACGCTGCTGGCTCTGTCACAGAACTGCAGCAGGCATCACAGGACGCGTGCATTCCCTCCTCACCCCAGCCACACCTGCAGCCCCGGAAACAGATGAGAACGGAGCTTAATGAGAGGGGCAGTCAGTGCCGGGACCATGTGGTCAGTTCCAGGACCATGCGTTCTGAGTCCTGTTTGCCATTTGCTGCTGAGCAGTGTGACCTTGAGAAGGGCCTTGTCGTCTCAGAGCCTGTCGCCCTAGGAGTAAAGCATGTTGGACAGACCTTATTTAATAGACATGCCTAAATCTGCAAGTGAAAAAGACCCTCCTTTTTGATGAATAGTTCATTCTGGTTTTGTTCTTGCAAAGTATGACGTGGGGCATGCCACCTTCTCAGTTCTTTTGGTTTTGCAAAGAAAGATAGTGAAAGGTTCAGATATTGTTCAGATGAACAGCAAAGAAAGATAGTGAAAGGTTCAGATGAACAGTTGTGACGGCTTCTGAACCACGAAGGAAGAGAGAAGAGGGGCCCAGGGCTGCGGGCGCTTAGTCAGTGTCACACGCTGATCTGTGGGGTTTTGTGAGTGATTTTATTAGATAAATGGTCACAATAGTCCTGTGAGTAGGTGCTATCATCCCATTTTATAGACAAAGAAACAGAGGCACAGACGGGTTCCCTTAATTTGCCCCAAGCCACACAGAATCCAGGCATTCAGGCTTTATTAAAGTCTTCCAGTGCCCCTGGGGAGGGAAGTAACCATAGCCTGGAGTTGTCCAGAGGAGAAAAGAGCCAGAGTAACCACCACGCTTTCTTAATAAGGATGGAAGACAGAATAAAGGGCACAGGAATAAAGTATCATTAACCAGACTGGTAAATCAATAGACTAATTAAAAATCAAACACCTTAAAACTCTGTTGCTGGGTTAATTGTAAACCAACATTGAAACGTTAAAACTTGCCCAGCTCATGGGTTTGAATTATTAACCAGGCGAATTAATTTCAAGCCATGAGTGTGGGTAGCTGCGAAAGCCGCCCATTAGAAGAAGGGGAATTTGTGTGCCCTTTTCTGCTCAGGCCTGCTTTGGTATCAAGGTCTTCTTTTATCGTTGCTGCCACTTTTATTTTTAATCGAAATATCTTAAACATTTAGGCAGGCCTCGCCGATTCAGACACATTGTGGGAAAGGGCCGTTTGAATCAGGAAGGGGTTGGATTACACTTATCTTTCCAAATGGAAGAAATGCCATTCTGTTTTGCAGTAAGACGGAATCCCCACGGGAGAAAGGGCCCTTTTTAAAGTCCTTTCGGCTTCCAGTGTTGGACCCAAGGGTGATGTTCCACCTGCCACCTCCACTGCTCTGGGGAAAAAAAATGCTATATAAGTAATAGTGAAATACTATTACTGTCCTTACAGCCCATCTGTTTTGTGACTTCGACACAGGGTTTATTCACTCTTAGGTCACGTCCAAGCCCCAAGGGATCCTTGGGTCCCAACCCCGTTCTGTCCAAGAAAGACCAAAGTCCTGGGGTGTGTGTCATCAGGATTTAGCCCTAAGACAGTCTGCTCTGCAGTGAGACCTCTGGAATATTCAGTGATGGTCAGGTGACCACCAGGTGTTTCTGTTAGGTCCTGCTGGACCTGCTTTGATTGTAGATGAAAAACTTTAATTAGAGATGAAACTCACCAGCAACCAGCGCCATCTATTTTGCTTCTGTGAGCTGTATTCCTAACCTCTCTTGGGTCATGGGTCACCTGGACAACGTTAGGGACCCTTTACCCAGAGAGCTGCTTGTTGCCACAATCACAGGGAGCTTTGCACAGAGGGTTGGGACCCCAGGATCCCTTGGTGCTTGGACGTGACCTCACCAAGAGTTAAGAAACCCTGTGTCAAAGTCACAAAACAGCTGGACTGTAAGGATACTAATAGTATTTCACTGTTACTTGGACAGCATTTTATTTTTTTCCAGCGTTCTTTACAAGACAATCTCATTTGACCCTCATGAGAACCTGTAGTCGCTGTTTTATATGTGACACATGCTAGTGGGCACAGTAACTTCCCTGAGTGTTGCTGTTTTCTTGTTAATTTGCTAAATGGGCTTTAAAACGGGAGATAAATGTAAATTTCAGCCCCATAAAATTAGTCTTATTTCAAATGCTTCTGATTAATTAATTAAAAAACAGCATTAAAACACTACTCCAGCCATGAACATGGCAAATGAGTAATGTTTGTTCCATTCAGACGGTTGATGGGATAAAATTACCAGATTGGTTGGTGATAAAAAAACGCTTTTGACTCCAACTTGGACGTTTACAGAAAGAAGAGACTTGGGCAGGTTGTTTATTTAGAACATCTCTTACTGCTTCTGCCCTACTCCTCCAATTACAAAAACTTGGGGAAATTGTGGAAAACCACAAGAACTAATAAAAATTTCCCTAACTTTACTATTTGTTATTTAGAGAGGACCATTGTTAACATTTTGGTGGGTTTTCTTCCATTCTTTTTTCATGGCAAAATACACACACACACTCACACACACACACACACACACACACACACACACACACACTCTCTCTCTCTCTCTCTCTCTCTCTCTCTCTCTCTCTCTGTAAAACTATCCATAAAGTATACTTTATATATATATATATATATATATATATATATATATATATATATATATATGTGTGTGTATAATCTCCCTAGGAAAATATATTTTTATCTTAACTGACCCTATTAGGAGGATGGTACAGCTTTATACCCTCACCAGAAGTTTGAGACATACGTTTTTAAAATGAACTCGTTTTTATAAAAATGATATGCTTATGGCAAACATTTTTATTTGCGCTGCAGGGTAAGGCTTAATGATTAAAAGACTGGTGTTTCTCGGCTCAACCTGGACTGATTTATTCTTTAAACTTCCCCCTTCTTCAGTGCAGTTTGACAGAGCTTTCTCTTTACAGTTTGTTTACCTACCTACTTAACAGGCCTAGCCTATCCACCTGTCTGT